ATGTGTTTGGGTTTACAACCAATGAGAAGGCAGAACAACATACTTTAAAAATACGAACCGACAGGAAGTAGGTCTCTTTTCGCGAAGCTGGGACAGCAGGAGGAAGGGTGAGATTTTAGCTCTGAGCTCTGACTTCTCGGCTTTCTCTTTTACATTGTTTCTGTGTTTCTTATTTAATAAGACGGTTGGTAACATCTACATCCCTCCGTATCATAAGTACCTGTTACACATTTCCAAGTCCATGCCAGCATCCTGCCCTTCTCACTTCTCCCCTGCTAAACTCCAGCTCAGGGGCTTCCCTCCCCACAGCTGTTCAGTCTCCTAATAACCTGCTATTCTCACTATATTCTCTCTCCTTCCCTCCCTCCCACCCCACCCCACCCCACCCTGGCTCCTGCTTCTCTCACCGTGTTTTCTCTATTCTCTATCCCCCGCTGTTCTCCCCTCTCTCACAGACAGCCCTGGCCATGTCCAGTCTACTTCTTTCTCTCTCTGCTTTGGACTCTTCCAGATGCGTCTTTTCTCTCAGCCGTATATCCCTTCCGCCAGAGATAAGGGAAATGACTCCTTTTGGTAGATGGGAACCTGTTTCACAATAAAAAACTTTCCTCTTAACTGTACCATGGAGTGGTCATGTCATCGATTTCGACGATCTAGAAAGTGTGTGAGGTCAGTGACAGCTCTCTGTCTTCAGGACTGTTTCACCAGTGCCCGGGGCCAGGGAGTGGGCAAGCACTGATTTGCTGAGGAAGAGGAAGCAGGGAGAGTGTCTTGGAGTTTTTGACAACTACATGGGTGTGGGAGAAGACAGAAAACATCAAACTAAACATGCCATCACCCAGACCTTCCCCCAGGAACCATCATACACGGATCCTCTGCAAAGCTGATGTGGCTCCCTGGCTGTGCAGAGAGTTAGCGAATCCCCAGGTCCTTACTGTGTAATCATTAATATCTCCTTTGCTTTCTGTCGGCCGCACCCAGCCAGGGTCACTATCATTTCCTGCACTTCCCAGGTGCTCATCGCAGATAGTGATGGTTATTTAGGACAGGATGGCCTCTTTGTCGCTGTCCCGTCATCGGAGTGAAGATATTCTCTAGAGACTCTAGTGCCCCTCCCCTTGGCTATCAAACTGTTGAAATAATGGATCACAGGAGCACTGAATTTTCCCCCAGGAAGCTCATGCTGTGAGAAGGAAAGGGCTGGGGCCTCAGTGCCAGCCACAGAGGTTACTTGTTTCCTGAAGACTAATTTCATGTGGTTCTGTCAACTTGTCAGAACATCTCTTGCCCCAGAGACTGAAGCCCAAACAATGGTGATGGGCGGGGCCACGCCTTGACCAGGGCTGCTCAGCCATGTGTGCACACTGCTTAAACCTAACCTAACCTAGGTTTCTGTTTAAACCTAACCCCAGCTTATTAGGGAGGCTGTTGGGGCCCAGGCTCTGACCTGAACTCAGCAACATTTGTAAGGAGAAAGGAACATCTGTTCATTTCCACACACTATTGGTTTGCAGTATAACAGCTTTAGATGCCTGCTGTTTGCAGGTAAGAGGCTCTGTACACAGGCGAGAGGGTTACGGGGCAGGCCTGAGGAGATGCTGGGAGAGGAAGGAAGGTGAGGAGCAGAGCCTGGTTCTCACCTCAGGACCGGTTCCTGAAGCCTCCTCTTGCATTGTGACCACATCCTCTTATAGTCTTTCATTCCTTTACATGACTTGTCCTCCCATGCCTCATCACCATCCCCAAATACACTGATAAACAGGCCTTGGTGCCTTTGAGGGGAATTCAACCCCAAACTAGTTGTTCCTCTAAACCCAAAGACAACAGTGTGAAGACATCAGTGTGAAGACAACAGTGTGAACGTATCTGACTCCTAATACACGTACGCCTATGTCTCCATTTGTGGTTTCTCTTGGGAAATCTGGCTGTCCTTCACGTCAACAGAACCCCTGATGACCTGCCTAGGCCTGTCTGGACGTGCCTGAGATAGTGCTGTGGCAACCAAGCAGCTTTCTGTCACAATCACATTCCACACTCCGCTAGTACTGGGTGGGGACAGAAGAGTGGGCTGGGGCTGCTGTGGTTAGAATCCAATGTCCCAGGTCCTAAGGTCTGGACAGGGCAGATGCTGGCAACAACATAAAGACAGGGGACACCTAGGGACAAAAGCTAGCAGATCTGATGTGGGGGCTGCAGGGGGTGGAATCCAGAGGCGGGTATGATATCACAATAGCTAGGAGCTGAGATCATTGTGGGCCACTATGGCAGATCCTGACATATACAGGAAGACAGACGGTAGGTAGTACAGGTGTTTTCCTACTGGGAAATAAAGTTAGTAGCCAAGAGCTGTGCTGGTGCATGGGACTCTCAAGAAGGGCCTGGGAGGGGCTCAAAAGATGCTTCAGTGGCTTAGAGCACCTGTTGCTCTTTCAAAAGACCTTGGTTCTATTCCCAGCATTAACATGATGGCTCACAGCTTTCTCTATCTCCAGTTCCAGGGGACCTGAAATTTTCTTTCAGCTCTGAGGACACCAGGCATGCAGGCAGAACACAGACATAGTTGTAGGCAAACATACACATGCATACAATCAATTAAAAAACACACAAGGAATAGCGTGAAAAGAGTTCCTGGGGTGTGAAGGAGGATGAAGAGGAGGGGAGGAGGAGGAGGAAAGCCCAGCAAAGACAGGGTTTCTTCTGACGGAAGCTCAGTTATTGAGAGCCTCACTCGTCTTAGAAACAGATGAAGAATAATCTCGTGTCACACAAAGGAACATATGGAGAAAGTGAAAGTAGCTTGGGATGGGTTCCAGCTTGAGAGTGAAGCCAGCAATGTGTAGATGGGCTTCTAGAGAAGCAGAGGCCTGACACAGAAACCGAACCATTTGCCGTCTTGACAGTGGGGTGTCCATGTGTGAGGTGCATTCCCCCCACCCCACCCCATCAAAGGTAACTAGCCCACCAAGGGCCAATATTCCAAAAATTCCTTAAATTCTCCCCAATTTCCTTTTATCAGAAGGGCACACCATGACCCAAAGAAGGCAAGCAAGCATTCAGGGGGTGGGAGGTGGGGGTGGAGGGGTGGAGGGTGGGGGTGAGGAGTCAGGGGGTTGTGCTGTGGATATCACTCTATATGCTGTGAATGTGTTTCTCTGATTGGTTAATAAATAAAGTTCTGATAGGCCAGTAGCCAGGCAGGAAGTATAGGCGGGACAAAGAGAGAGGAGAATTCTGGGAACAGGAAGGCTGAGTAGGAGTCGCCATCCAGACACAGAGGAAGCAAGATGTGAAGGCAAAACTGAGAAAAGGTACCAAGCCATGTGGCTAAACATACATAAGAATTATGGGTTAATTTAAGTGTAAGATCTAGCTAGCAAGAAGCCTGAGCCATTAGGCCAAACAGTTTTAATTAATATAAACATCTGTGTGTTTATTTGGGACTGAGCGTTTGCGGGCCGAGCAGGACTGGAGAAAACTCCAGCTACAGGGTTGTTCATTTGGTTTATATTCTAAGGCAGATGGTGACTGTGTCTTTTTGCCATTGTCTGGGCTCTGACCTCACAATATCACAATCAGTTAGTTTTGAAAGAATTGGTGCAAAGGAAACATGGGAAAGGGGGAAGCCGGAAGTTCTGGGAATCCAGTGGGGCCTTTGTGGAAACAAGCGTTTTACCAGGTTGGGAGATTAAATAGGGGAGATGTATGGAATATTGGCCCTTGGTGTGCTAGTTACCTTTGATGGGGGGGGATGGGGGGGAAATTGCACCTCACACATGGACACCCCATTTGTCAAGACGGCAAACGGTTCAGTTTCTGTGTCAGGCCTGTGCTTCTCTAGAAGCCTATCTACACATTGCTAGCTTCACTCACGCTGGACTCATCCCAGTAACTGGCCTTACCAGCTCATTGATGTGTTCACAAGCTTGGGTGGGCTCAGTTGCATGTCCTCAGATCCAGCAAGCATGGCCTCTGCCTCAGAAAGCCACCGGGAATTACATCCTCCTTTCCATCAGGGCCCCTCCCTGGAAGAAGGCTCACAGGTGTCAGTCTGCGTCAGCCACAGGAAGCAAAATCATTCCAAAGGGGAGGGGGGAAAAGGAAGTGGGGTGCCAAGGAGGCATCTGAGAAACGCTACAGGGATCGGGGTTATCTAGATGGAACCTACCTTCAAGGCAAAGGTAGGCTTCCTAAAGAGAGCACGCCACACCCTGCAGGTGGAGGGGAGCTGCCAGCCAAGGGTAGGCGAGGGGACTGCAGGGTTTGCCTGCGGAGATGGTGGAAGAAAAAGGAAGAGGGGAGCAAGGAGCAGAGGCCTGGGATCTCACCCAGGATTCCTCCTGGGTGGCTACTTCCCCCAGGACAAGCCCTTGGTTAGCAAGGCGACAACAGAGGTCTATCTAGCATCTTTTCCTACAAAGCAAGCCACACAGATGCAGGTAACACTACCCACTTCCCTTGGAAAACAACAGTGTGTGCCTGAGAATAACATCTACTCCAGACCTCAGTGGGCGAGGATGGGTACTACCCAGGTCTTTCACAAGGTCCCAGATATGTGGAGACCACAGCCCTGCTGCTCGCACCCAAGAGCCCCTGCTCTGCCCTGAGAATCCTGCTGCAGGAAAGGACCAAGAGCAGCACCTTCAGAGGAGGGAGCAATCTTCTATGTGGCTCCAAAGTGAATTTTATCCTGGGAAGACAGAGAGCGTGGGGATGTTGGGGGAACGAGGCTCCTCCGGACTGCTGTGGGAAGGAAGCACTTTCACAGTGAAGGTAAGTTAGTCTGAGGAAAGGTCTCTCTTGCCCCCCTCCAGCTCCCCTTTGATTGCAGAGCACACTTCTAGAACTTTGGTGACCACCTTGCAGAATGGTTCTGCTTCTATAACATAAACCTATCATTTCTGACTCTGCTTCAGAGATGTATTTGACCCGTGTGACCTGCAGAATGTCCAGATATCGATGCAACTGAAGAGGATGACATTAGACAATCGTGCTTCACAAACGGGGAACTAAGGCACAAAATGGGAGAGTGATCTGAGGGATGCGGTGATAATAAGACAAATGGAGACATGGACTTCCGGTGGTCCAGCAGACTTTCTCTTCATGGTTCCAGGTAGGCTCGTGAGCAGACCTCTTTCCAGCTCTGGACTATGGATGAGAGAAGTGGGTGAGGGGTGTGAAGAAACAGCCGAGAACACACAGCTGCGGCTCTGACCCCAAGCCTGAGATCTGGTCCTCTGCATTCATCCTGATCTGGGCCCTGACCCCCAGAGTCTGGGGCAGGTGTCCTGGCTTAATACCAAGAAGACTGGGGTTAGTTTTCTCTTAAGAAATCTTGACACAAAGTAGAAACTGGACCATGTCAAAGGGGAGAAGTCTAGAGCTGAGATGTGGCAGCGTCTCAGGCTTGTCCTCAGGCCAGCTGGTGCTCTAATCCCAGATCATAGGCATGACAGGTGATAAACTCCAGATTCTGTCCCAGGGCCTCAGCTCAGTGTGGACCCCTGCTTGACACAGCCCATTTAAACTGTACGTCATACAACGCTAGCTGTTCTGCATATCACCCCTGCTACCTCATCTAGCCTCCCCTCCCACCTAGCAGGGAATCTGCTTTGGTTCCAACAGCGCTAGGTGATTCTCGGGATCTTACCTAACCACCTGCAGTGATTCCACAGTGTGCATCAGCCGCTGCCTCTGCTTTCTCTAAGGCTCCTGGGAACTCCAGGTCATGAAGGAGCCTTAACTCTTTGTAGCTGTCTATATATTGCTGTGTGAAGTTTAGTATGTGGCCTGCAAGCTAATATTAACAATTAAGTTTGGAATAAAAGAACCTGTGATTGCCAGTGGTCATACTATCAGTGAAATCAGAATTCTCTGGTGAGTTATAGTCAATAAAATTGTTGTAACTTGTAAAATTGTTGTTAGTCAATAAATTTGGAGGAGATGAAAAGACACAAAATCTGCCTGTCTGTGTCTCTCACATAGCATCTCATCTATTACAGAAGAAGACACAAACCTTAACACACAGCTGCAGAAGGAAAAAAGACAACATATCTATCTAGCCCAGGACTCTTTACTACCTCCAGATGTGTGTAAAGGGCTGTTGCCTTCATTCTGGAACAGATGCGTGATTTCTTGTTCTTTCTGTATTAGTCTATTATGCAAAGGGGAAAGGTCAATAGAAAGGTGTGTGTGTGTGTGTGTGTGTGTGTGTGTGTGTGTGTGTGTGTGTGTGTGTGTGTGTGAAGATTTATTGTAAGGAATTAGATCATGAAATTATGGAGGCTGATAAACAAAATCTGCAGGCTGTGTTGTCAAACCGGAGCCCCAGGAGAGCCAAGTTCAAGCCCAAAGGCTGGCTGCTCCAGAAAGAGCTATGTTCCAGCCTGCCGGTGTGGTGGAGTGGGGTGATCTAGTGCAGAGACTAGGAAGTATGAGGCAGTCTCTGTAGCAGCCGCTTTTCTCGTGGCTGTGATGAAGGCAGCTCAGGAAGAAAGGGTTTGTCTTAGCCCACAGCTCAAGGGCACACAGTCCATCACAGTGGGGAGACACGGCAGCGGGAGGGTGAGGCTGGGGTCACGTTGCATCTGTAGGCAGGAAGCAGAGAGGAGTAAGAGTAGGCACTCTGCTCACCCGAGTCTCTGTATGCCGTCCAGGGCCCCAGCCCATGGACGGTGTCATATTTACAGCCAGTTTCCTGTCCTGATTAACCTGAGCTAGAAACTTCCTAAGATACTCCCAGGGGTTTGACTCCTAGATCTTGTCAAGCTGATGATCAATTTTCACAGCACAGGGAGGGGCAGCTGTCTGCTGGATTCCACCTTCTGATTCTGTGACCTCAGGCGTGCGTGGGGGGGGGGATGGGGGGAGGGGGGAGGGGCAGCCTGCTTGGTTTCATCTTCCAACTGAAATGTTAATCTTACATTTTTAAAAAATATCCCTCATAGATACCCAGAGCACTGTTTCACTAAATATGTGATCATTTCATAGTGCACAAAATTAACCATCACATCTTTATAAAGACAATTTGTTGTAACATACAGGGCTAGAAATTTTTGGCATGCACATTTTTCCTGACATTGCCAAAATTGTTCTATGGAGAATTAAGCCCTTCTTGCCCTCGTGGTCAGACAAACCCTGAGCCAATTGCTAGTTGAACCTTAATGGTTTGATTATTCTCATTTTTCCTTTATAATTCTTTTAATCAGCTAGGTGGCAGTGGCACACGCCTTTCATCGCAGCACTTGGGAGGCAGAGCCAGGTGGATCTCTGTGAGTTCAAGGCCAGCCTGGTCTACAGCGCGAGACCCAGGACAGGCACCAAAACTACACAGAGAAATCCTGTCTCAAAATAACCAAAAGAAAAGAAAAGAAAACCACACTAAATGATTACTATTTCTCTGTGATTCCAAATTATCTCTCCCAAAGAGAAAAGAAAAATCAAAATCACAAGCAATTGTGGCAAGATGCAATACAGGGCCAGAAAGAGGGCTCAGCTGTCACCAGATGACCTGAATTTGATTCCTGGGACCCACATGGTGAATGAAGAGAACTGATGTCCTCATGTGGTCTTCTGACATCCATCCATGCACTGTGGCACCTGCACACAAATATATGCACACACACACACACACACACACACACACACACACACACACACACACACAATGCACACATTCACACACACACATACCTTTGATAAATTTAAGATGCAATACGAGGATTCCTGGACTAGACATACAGACTGGTTGCATCTCACCTCCATCTTCCAAGGACTCCCTCTATGGAAGGATGTTGGGCATTTTAATAGTTTTCAAGAAGAAAAGAGTCCCAGCTGAGGTATAGGTGCTCTACACTAATAGGTAGCTACACTACTGCTTTCCGAGGCAGGCCCTACAGAGACTGAATGGGGACCCTATTGATATCAATACTAGGGCAACAAATGTAAACCAGAGATGTGTCAAGCATACCAGGATACAAGGATATGGTCACTCCAGCCTCAGGGATGCATTTGTCTGATTTTCAGCAATTCCATAGGATCAAGCTCCAGTCAAAGTTGCTAATGTGAGGGTCAATCACTGCAATGGTTCATACTGTCAACTTGACAGAATCTAAATCTCCCAGGGGCTGGGAGGTGGCTCAGTGGGTGAAGTGCTTGCTGTGTGAGGACCTAAGTTCAAATCTCCAGCACCACTGTAAAAAGATGGACATGGTAAGAAACATCTGTAATCCAGAGCTGGAGTGCAGAGATAGGTGCATCCCAGAGGCTGGCTGGCCAGCTTTTCTATCTGAAACAGTAAGTTCCCAGAACAGTGAGAGACCCTGCCTCAAAAAGAGAGGTGGAGAAGCAATATAGGAACACATCTCACCATCACTGTCTGGTCTCCACACATCTGCACAGGCCAGAGCATCTGCACACACACACTACACGTGAGAAGTTACAAATAAATGACTTAGGGGATCTGTGAGAGAGTTTCTTGACTCCATTAATGGAGAAGACTCACTCTGAATGTGGGCAGTGCCATCTCATAGGCAGGAGTTCTGCACTAAATAAAATGGAGAAAGCAGGCTGAGCATGAACATTCCTTCATCTCTCTCTCTGCTTCCTGACTGTAGACACAATGTGACCGGCTGCCTCATGTTCCGGCCTCCATCTTCCCTAACATGATAGACTATATCCTTGAGTTGTGAGTCAGAACAAATTTTTATTTCCTTAAGTTTCTTTTGTCAGTTTTTTTTTTGTTGTCATAGCAATAAGAAAAACAATAAATACAGGTACCCCATCTAGGTCTTAGTCTAAGAAAAAAACAATAGGAAAAAAATAGAGTATATTATGCTATACTTGGTCTAAGTGACAGAATCATACCTTGGGTTTGTTTAGGCCAATAAAGGGACATTTTTTTTTTTTTGGCTCACATAGCCATGAGGTGACCCGAGCTACTGAATTAGAGAATAAGAAATATTAAAGCTGTCAGCACTGTATCACCTGCATAAACTGATGACATGACCACTCCATGGTATGGTTAAGGGGAATAAGGGTTTTTATTATAGGTATGAGAGAGAGAAAGCCAGAGGCATCTGGAAAAGTCCAGAACAGAGAGAGAAAGAAGTAGATTGGATATGGCCAGCAGACTGGACGAGGCCAGGGCTACCTGTGACAGAGGGGAGAATAGTAGGGGATAGAGAATAGAGAAAACAGAGTGAGAAAAGCAGGAGGAGAGAGAGAGAGAGAGAGAGAGAGAGAGAGAGAGAGAATATCAAAATAGCAGGGTTATAAGGAGAATGAATAGCTGGAGAAAACAGAGAAGGGCTGGGATGCTAGCATGGACTTTGAAATGTGTACCAGGTACTTGTGATACTGAGGGGTGCTGGAGGCCAGCATGAATTTTGATATGCTAATAGGCACCACAGGTAGTCATAGCTCCTTCTGCCAGAGGTAAGGAAACTCCTTCTGGCAGGTGAGAACCAACTTCACAAGTTCCTGAGGAATGCTGGCTTTTATCTAACAGCCAGAAACCCTCCTGTAGTCCAGGTTGAGCTCATTTCTGGATATTTTCACTGCGCTTTGGGGCTTGGGGGATTAGAGTTTCCTCTGGACCTGATACCACCCACTTGCTGTCTCTGTTTCTGGTCTCATAGTTCTTTCTACATGGGAATACCTTCATTGCCTCAGAATAATTTTCTTTCAAGAATTGATCAGTGCTCCCAGAAGTTATAGACTCCTGCCTTCTATGTACCATCACCTGAGAAAAAGCTCCTCTCAGCTCCAGTTCAGAAAAATCACAGGGCACTGATTGTCATGAGTGGTGTCACATGCCCACTCCCTAAACCCAATACTGTTGCCAAGATTGAGGACACTTTGCACACTCTAAAGCCATGTTGGAGTAGGGGAGTAGATTCCTGGGAGGTGGGAGAGGTGCTGGGTGGATAGAGCGGTGTGTACCACAATATAGGGCTGTGAGAAGATCTGTTTGTCTATAAACCATTTCTCTGGATCCTCACTCCTAAAGAAGACTCCTCCACCTGAGCTTTCTTGCTTGATTATCTGCCCTGGCCAAGGACCCAGATGCATCCACTATGCTCTGGCCTAAGTAGCAAACTCACAGAATGGGTCAGTGATCTACAAAGCCCCAAGTGAGTCATAAACCCCTCAGTAAGCAGACAAGCAAAGAGACTAAACAACTAGATACATAAATAAATTCCATACTAATTCCCACACATAGACTCGGGAAGAGAAGATATAGAGTTGTAGACACCTTCTAAGCTTGGGACAGAGTCTAGATTCTCAGTATTCCCTTATGATGTGTAGAGGATAAACAATCTTCTAACTGAATCCCCCAGCTCTATGGTGTGGGAGGTGGGGCCTTTGGGAGGTAATCGAGACCAGAGGAGGTCAGTAGGGTATGGCTCCATGCAGATTCAGTGGCTTTTGAGAAGAGGAAGAGATATACTGAGGCAGGATATACTACAGGATGCCTGTCACCATGTTGTAAGGAAGCCTTCACCAGGTGCCAGCACCATGCTTTTGGACTTCCCAGCCTTCTGAATATAAGAAATACCTTTAAAAAAATAATGTATCCAGTGCCAGTTCTGTTGTCATAGCAACAAAAAAATGGGCATCACTTCTTGGCTAAAAAGATGACCACTTTTCTTGCTGATATTGAGAGGATTAAATAATTTAGGTAAAAAGATTGAAAGAGTTTCTTTCTCGTAGTCTGCCCCAAGACACATGGAGAACTTATATGAATAATCAAGGAAAGTTCTAGATCAGTCTAGAAAAGTACTTGGAGGAAAGGACTATTCTATTTCCCAAGAGGCTGGCGTTAGAGGGGCAACTCTCAAAGATGACTGACAGCTCTTCATCCATTGCAGAGCTGGGCTGTTGCCTTGCCTCTTCTGTTTACACCCCCGGGGCAGTTCAATTTGCACCCCGTGGCTGGCACAGACCCCGGATGGCACTGTTCAATCAACTGTTGCTTGAAGTGTGAAAATTACACTCTAACTAGTGGCCTAGGGTCACCTCTGTGAGCCCCATTCTTCAAGTCTGAATGACACAAATGCTGTCTTCCACAGGGTTTTACAAAGATCGAGGGTCGTGTATGAAGGTAGTCATTGTACACCTGGTACACAGCTGTCTTCAGCGACATCCCTCTGCCCCTTATCAGTCCCAACCAGAAGTTGGAGTCTATTAGAAACCTCTTTACCATTGATGTGGACAGCTTGAATTTCTTTTGTAGTGAGTCCAGCATGGGGTACTTCTGCTGGGAATTAGGTATTTCTATGTCTCCCAAACCACAAAATTCCGTACTCCAAATTTTAATATGTGGCCAGCAGAGAGGCATTTGTTGTTTTTATTTGTTTGTTTGTTGTTTTGTTTTGCCTTGGATAACAGCACCAGCCGGTGATCTAAACTCACCAAACCTCAGTGCTGCTTCCAACGCGTTTTCAAGTTTCCCTCCAAGGTAAGTGGGGGAGGCTGGAGCCAACTCTGTTCAGAAAGCAGTGTATAAAAACAAAACCAAACCCCAATCCTCTCAATAGATGTCCAGGCAGCTCTCAGTCAAGTTAACCATCAGTTCCTTTGGTTGGCTGTTTTTTGGAACAAGGTCTCAGTATTTAGCCATTCCTGCCTCTGCCTCCCAGATTTCCGGGATTACAAGTGAGCACCACTGTGCCTAGCAAGGTTACCGCTCTCTTTATGTATGTTTGTTTGTTTGGTGGTTGGTTGGTTGGTTGGTTGGTTGGTTGGTTGGTTGAGATGGGCCTCACTATGCAGTCCTGCCTGTCTTGGCCAGGCTGACCTTGAACTCACAGAGATCCTCCTGCCTCCGCTTACTCAGCTCTGGGATTAAATGCATGTGCCATCATGCCTGGTGAGTATAAAGCTCTTTGCAGTTGGTGGAAGATTGTGTATACAACACATCTCTCTGAGTTCATAGCTAGCCTTGTCTACAAATCAAGTTCCAGAATAACCAGGACCACATGGTAAGACTTCGTTCTAACAACAAACAACAAAAAGGCTGTACATATATTACATATATTTCATTTCACTTGGAAACACTGTGATATTGAATTAAGTTTTCAAATGAAACTAAGGTTAATTTTTAGCCTATAACCACAAATTGAGTTGGTGTACTTTAGAGCATGACTCATACTATATGATAGGGCCGTAATAACATAGCTAGTGTATTCTTTGAGGGAAAAAGTCTACTTAGAATAAGAAAAAAACAGATTGGGGGCTACTGGGTTGTGTAGAACACTTAGACTTGGCAATCAAGAGAGCTAGGTTTGAGGCCTCCTCCTCTTGATCACTGTACAGGTGAAGTCCTCCCCTTGATCACTGTACAGGTAAAGTCCTCCCCTCTTGATCACTGTACAGGTAAAGTCCTCCCCTTGATCACTGTACAGGTGAAGTCCTCCCCCTGATCACTGTACAGGTGAATTTGATCAAGTCACCTCTCCTCTCCTGATTTTAATTTCCTCCTTCACAAATGATGAGTGACAAATACGTGTGTGTGTGTGTGTGTGTGTGTGTGTGTGTGTGTGTGTGTGTGTGTGCTAAACAAAACAATGAAAGCAAAGATTCCTGCCTAGTGTCTAACACATACAAGAGACTTGATAATTATTTGTGTGTATTCTTCCATTCTCCTCCTTTTTCTCATGTTTGTGGGATTCAAATGCATAAGGTACAAAAATGAGAATATGGGATAGCCCAGAAATTCTCCAAGCATGGGTCCCAGGTGAAAAACATCAACATCACCTGGGAACTTGCTAGAAAAAGCCTTGGGCCCCACCCAAAACCCAAGGACAGTCTCAGGAGCTTGTATTTCATGAAGTTGTGATAGTTAGATCCAAAATACATCCCCATCAATCCCCATATCCTGGAATTCACCCTCTTGTGTAGTCCTGCCCTGGGTGTACCGTGATTTCCTGTCTGCCTATTGAAAGAACACATCAGAAGTTATGAATTATCACTTCCAAGATGAGATTACAACACACAGCAAGGCTCTCTCATAGTCTCAACAGCTTAGGTCACTGGCTTTGGGACAGGCAGTCAGAGGGGCTCTCAGACATTTGACAGCTTTATGGAGAGGCCTATGTGGTAAGAAACAGCTCATGCCCAGCCAGGTGAGTGAGCCTTTTAGAAGTGGCTCATCCAGGAACCAGCTAGATGTCCTAAGACTGCAAATGACAGTTTCTCTGATCCTTGAGGCACAACCCCAACGCTGTGCCTTATTCTTAATATAATAATGTGCAGATATTTAATGTAAGTTGCAACCCCACTTGGGGTGCTGTAACTTAATGTGGGGAGTAATAAAATGTTTGGCAATAGTGAAAGATTTCTGAATGTGTCATGACCAAAAATTGATTCAGAGACAAACAGGGAATGAATTCAAGGCCAGAGCCCACCCATGCTACATCATACAAGTTCACTGCAGCCGCAGTTTGGAGCACAGAACATGTGCACCAGGCAGGCTGACACATCACTCAACATCAATGCCTGCCTGAAATATCCCAGCCTGTATTTAAAATGGTTGTTTTGGCAAGGGGCGGGAAGGGGGGCAGGGGCCGGTAGTGAGCTGGTTTAGCAGGTAAAGGCACAAGCTACCAAGCCTGGAGACCCAAGTTTGGCCCCTGGAACCCACTTGGTGGAAGGAGAGAACCGACTCCTGAAAGTTGTCCTCTGACCTTGACAGGTGCACTGTGACATGGGCTTGACCCCTCAATACACCCTAACACAACACACACAAATAAATACATTTTAAAAAGACTTGTGGATTGCAGTGTCTTTACTGTACATACAAACTTTTCTGCTCTTATAGAAACATAATGGCTTAAGTATGCAAAAAAAAAAAATTTTAAGATTTCCCTACCTTCATTTCTCAACATAGATCAAGTTAGTATATCTTTGGATAATATTGAGCTAGAATATTTGATTATAAAAATCACTATTTGAGTTTCTGACTTGAGTTTAAAACTAATAATAAAACTAATAAAAAAATCTAGAATGAATTTTGCCCTGGGATTAAGAAAAACTCCAGCAATATCTGAAATGGCTTTACGAGCACTTCCATCATCTCATGCTGTGTATTTCTGTAAAGGACGGTCTCAGTCCTGATGATTATAAAGTCAACATGTTGATCAACTCTGAAAAACATTGATGATGTTCTATACCCTGCAGTATCAAATAAACCAGAACAGGAAAAGGCCAGTCCCTGAGGGGTTGGCGTGGTCTGGGAAGCTCTCCCCTCCTAGTGAGAGGGAGTAACAGGAGGCATGGAAAACTGGCACTGTGCTCTCAGTGACGGACGACAGTTTGAAGAGAGAGAGGAAAAGAGAGGGGAGGAAGAGAGACACAGTTTGAGGGCAGTGGCAGAGGAGGGATGAGAGATACCAGGAACTCTCTCTTCCTGTCTCTCCACCAAAGTGGGGCAAGGCATCATTTTAAAAAGACCCCTGCCTGAGTCAGTGGCTTTGTGGCTCCGAACCTTCCATGGACTGTGCCCTCTGGGAACCCAGAACAAGTATCACGGGACTATGTGCTAAAATCTGAACACTTCTAGACCACCAGGAAGAAACTGAATCAGAACCATCCAGTCAGTATTCAGCGGGGCAGAAACCTGCCTGGAGCCAGTCTGCAGGGGAGACAGAGAGAGACATGGGTTGCTCGGTGGCCAGTGTGATGTCTGAAAGGACCACTAAGGACATAATCTGCATTTATAATCCAACCTCTGACATACCACAGCGGTGTGTCTAGCATCTGTAACCTGACCCATGAATGGCATCCCACTGACAGGGACTAGTATTTTGCAACAGACTCCTCAGGAGTGTGACTGGCATCCTGGAGCCTGAGAAGGAACATTGCAAGCCAAGTTTGGAACCACATTCAGACAGCATGCCCATCAATCAGACAGTGTGCCAATCAATCAGACAGCATGCCTGTCAATCAGCATGCCTGTCAAGCTCTCTCCCCTTCACATTCACTCTACCTTCATTCATACTCACTGACAATTGAGCAGACTAGCTTTATCCCACTCTATTCTCATCTTCCTCCTTTTTTATATTCCTTCATTTTTAATTTTTTAATCTTAAAATATTTTAAAGAATTTACTTACTTATTTGTATATGTGTATTGTGTGTCTGAGTATATACACATGTATGTTGTAGATGCATCTACCTATGCTCATGTGTGGAGGCAAGAGGAGGGTGCTGAGTGTTCTCTATTTCTTTGAGGTAGGGTCTCTCCTTGAACCCAGGCTTGACAAACTTTTAGACAAACTTATCAAAAAAAAGAGAAGATCCAAATGAACAAAATTAGAGATGAAAAGAGAAACATTACAACAGATACCAATGAAATTCATAAAATCATTAGAACATACTTTAAAGACATATATTCCACTAAATTGGAAAATCTAAAAGGAATGGATGATTCTAGATCTATATTACTTACCAAAATCACACCAACATGAGGTAAACAATTTAAATATAATTATAACAAGTAATGAAATAAAAGCAGTATTTTGTTTCTGTTTGTTTTCTGAGACAGGATCTCACCTGTGGCCCTTACCAGCCTGGAACTCAATTTGTAGATTAGGCTGGCCTTGAACTCACAGAGATCTGTTTAACTCTGCCTCCTGAGTGCTGGGATTAAAGGTGCGTGCCACCAATTTTAGCTGAAGCAGTAACTTTTTTTTAAATCCCCCAACTTAAAAAAAAAAAAAAAAGTTCAGGTTGAGATGGATCCACTGTTGAATTCTACAAGCTCTTTAAAGAAAAACGCTTCCTAAATTATTTTAAAAACTAGGTCAAGAAGGAATACCACCTGCCACACTCTGTTTATGAAGCCAGTGCCATCCTGATCCCAAAGTCAGAGAATAGCACAATAGCAAAGAAAATTACAGACAACTGTTCCCAACAGACACACAGAAATTCCCAGTAAAACACCTGCAAAACAAATTCTAAAGATCATTCATCTTACATATATCACACAAATTGACCCAAGAACAGAAATCACATGAACATTCAGTAGATGTAGAAAGAGCTTTGACAATGTTACAACCAGCCCGTTATGCGCCATGAAGAAGGAAGGAGACAACACTTACGGGTTCCAAAGATTTGAATAATTCATCACATAAACAGGAGTCTTGTTTCTCCGACAGCCCTGAGCAGGGGGAAAAGCGGGTTTATAAGCACAAAAGTCACAAACATTTGTTGCCAGGTTACAGTTACAATTTTCACCAACCAGGATTTAGAGATTAGTGGCTTCCTTGAATGTTCCATCATTGTTAGTGATAAACAATATAAGCCTTTCAGTCCAACCAATCAGATTCATTTATTCCTTCTGTTGTTGGGAACAACCATAATGTTTCTAAAGAATCGAAGATGCATGACGACTATTTCTATGGTTTAGAGAGGAGGTTGGTCAGCCATTGGAAAGTTCTCAGCTCCTCTAGGGCTTGGGAACCTGAATTTTATTTCATCCTACAGGTAAAGTGAGTCTAAAGTCAAAATGGCAGTACTTAGGCCAAGGTGCTTTTGCTTGCTCCTTCAGACAATACCCACCATCCTTTCATAGTAAAAGTCCTGAAGAGACTAGAACATATCCCAACATAATGAAGACTACACACAGTAAACCTATAGCCTATTATATAGCTAGGGAAAATGCAAACCATTTCCACTAAAATCAGGAGCAAGATGAGGGTATCCACTTTCTCTATTCTTATTCAAAATGTACTTAAAATCTTAGCTAGAGAAATAAAATAAAAGAAATATGATTAAGAAAGGAGGAAGTTAAAGTATCTTCATTTATAAATGATATGATTCTATACGGAGGAGACCCTACAGACTTTACCAGAAAACTCCACTGTGTGGTGGCGGAGGTGCACATCTTTAATTCCAGCACTCAGGAGGCAGAGGCAGGTGGATCTCTGTGAGTTTGAGGCTAGCCTTGTCTACAAATTGAGTTCCAGGACAGGCAGAGCTGCAACACAGAGAAACTGTCTAGAAGAAGAGGAGGAGGAGGAAAAGGAGGAGGAGGAGGAGG